AGCACAATCGTAGTCAGCAACCTCCAAAACCTCGGATATATGAGGTCGCCAACACCCTTGCGGGGTGATGTCTGGGTAATTCCGGGAGAGGAGTAATTCACGCCGCAACTGAGCTGGAACATCTGGGATCTCTCTCTCTCTTCCCTCTCTCTTCTCTGCCTCTCTGAGCCGGTAGAAACACCGGTTGTCGTCGACGGTCGGGGTATTGACGGAGCAGAGGCGTGATAGGCGTGTGCTGCGCGAAGTGCGTGTGTGCCTGTGGTAGACGTTCGCATTTATCCCCGTGTTAGTGGCAGTACCTAGGCGAGAGCCGATGGAAGCATCGGTTGTCGGCATTGGTGGTTTTATTGATGAAGCAGAAGTGGATTTGCCGTGCGCTGCGCGAAGTGCATGTGTTCCAGAGGCAGATGTGTGCAGTTCTCCCGGTGGTGCTGTCGGCGGCACGGGGCCGGATCGAGAGGAGCGCCAAATTTGACGTTGTGTTGCACGCACCGTGTCAGGGGTGTCAGGGTTGACACGCAACTCTTCGTAGGTGGCGGTGTCCCATCCAAACCTTCGCAGGCGGCGATGTACCCAACCATGGTGTCGGTCTCTCTTTGCCTGGAGAAAAGCATTGGACGTGTTATGGCATAAACGGCGATATGCGGTGTTTGTCATGGGCTAGGCAGAAGAAAGCGTAAATAACGTGGATCGATCGATGATGAGGAGAGACAGACGTGGTTCGTCTTGTCTTGTGTTGCCCTCTAAACGAACGCGTGCTGTAACGGAAACCCTTTTCACCATAGCTCTCGCTTACTCATTCCGCACCCGTTTGAAGGTCTGGAAAGCGTTGGCAGCAGTGCTGCACATGTCCAACCTTCGCTTCGACAAGGCAGACAGCGAGCAGGGCGAGATCGCGGCCATCTCCGACCGTGGGGTGAGTGCCACGCCAGAGGCTGAGCCAGCCGCGATGGTTTTTTACGTACGCTGCTGGTTGGTTGTGAATAGGATCGAGATATGGTGTAGGGTAGCTTTGTTCCCACCTGCCTGTTTGGCGATTCCGCCCGTCTTTTCGCGCACCTCGCGGCCAAGCACGTGGCGTGTCTCCTCTCCTCTCAATTGTTGCCGATGGTGTTACCGTTACCGTTACCGTTGCCGTTACCGCCGCTGTGCCGTTCGTGCAGGCCCTGGCGACGCTGGCTTCTCTGCTCGGGGTGGAAGAGGCTGTCCTTGAGAAGATGCTGACTCAGAGGGTGGTGCAAACGAGGGTGGAGGTTTTCGTGAAGCAGCTAGAGGAGAACGACGCCAATCTCACCCGCGACGCCATCGTCAAGTCGCTCTATGAGGTGGGCTACACGGCTGCCGCGAAGGGGGGGGTGGCGGTGGTAGTTCAACAACTCTAGTGAGAACAGCAGATGCAAGAATCAATGGTGAAGATGGGCTGCATTGGTACCCCGGAGGGATGGAAAGGGGGGGGCTATGGTTAGAAAGGTGCAACAATGGGGACAGGGCACAACACCATCAATGCGAAACACAGAAATGTTTTTTGTTATTGGTTCAGTATCACACATCTTGTGTACGATACCGAAAAATAATTTTATAATTTTGCCGCTGCCGCCGTGCTCGCACTGCTCTCCGTACACGTGGGTGAGAGCTACGAAAGTTTGTTTTGTTGCGTTGAGCCAGGTTGGTGAGCATAGAAAAGCCCACAGGTGGTGAGTTGCAAGAACCTGTGACACGATTGCAACGCATCTTCGAAAAGGGTCTTGACAGACGAGACCTTGTCGAGATAGCTACTGCTGTACATTGCGTGCCGTAACGCCCGACCATCGTCTTTGTTGGGTGCCGGCCCCTCTCTTGTTTGGATGTGCGGGCGACTGCAGGCCTTGTTCCTGTGGATCGTGCAGCTCATCAACACCTCTTTGGGCAAGGGCGAGGAGAGCCTGCCGTTCATCGGCGTCCTCGACATTTTCGGTGGGTGTGGTGTGTGGTGCTGTGTGGTGTGTGGTGTGTGGTGTGTGGTGTGGTGGTGTGGTGGTGTGTGGTGTGGTGCTGTGTGGTGTGGTGCTGTGTGGTGTGTGGTGTGTGGTGCTGTGTGCTGTGTGCTGTGTGCTGTGTGCTGTGTGGTGGTGTGCTGTGTGCTGTGTGCTGTGTGCTGTGTGCTGTAACCCTTGAGTGTTGTGGCGAGCGCATGCACAAACGAAACAACGTTTCGCGGCGGGCTCACCGAAGACCGAAGCCGGGCGTTACTCTTGGAGTACATGGTGTCGGGCGCGTGTAGGGGAGGGAGAGGGGATGCGTGCAGTTTGTTGCTGTTGTAATCAAGCGCTTGGCTGACTCGTGTGGACACACCCAGGAGGGAATTTTGCTGGTTCATACGCAAATTCCACCAGGCTGCGTGAGTACACGCATCAGAAGCACTAGTTGCCAAGACAGTCATCACCACGAGGGTTGTGCGTGAGTTGATGGGTGTCTGTCTTGTCTGGCTGGCTGGCTGGCTGGCTGTCTCTCCTGGCGGTTCGACACTCTTTCTCTTCGCCTCTCACTGCTTCTGCTTTTTATCCTCTTAATTGATGACTTGACAGGTTTCGAGAACTTTGACACGAAGAACGAGTTCGAGCAGCTGCTCATCAACTTCACCAACGAGAGCCTCCAGGACACCTTCAACAAGCAGGTGTTCAACAACGAGCTCAAGCTGTACGAGGAGGAAGGGATCGACGTCGTGGTCTCCAGCTGCCCCGACAACACCGCTTGTCTCGTCATGCTGTCGGACAAGCCCAAGGGCATCATCCCCAGGTGCGCGGTACGGTAGCGGCAACGGCGGCGGTTGGTTGCATGAGGTGGTATCGACAAGACTCGAGGATTGCTGCTCCTTTTTTTTAAACAGCTTTTGTCCCTGGCACCCCGTTATGTGTACTTGATGGAATCGGCATTGAAGGTAAACGTGGTCCTGTAAGGGTAACGGTGGGCGTTTCGTTGTGATGGAGATTCGGTGGAACCCGTGCCGTTTGGCGCCGCCGCCGCTCCCTTCTTTGCCTAACTCGTTCTTCTCCCCGATATCAGATGGCTCGTTCTTTTGTGCTATCCCTGTGCTGTCCTTCTGTTGGTTTTCTCGATACTCGATACCCTAACGCCTCCCCTCGATACCAACGTGTGGGTATGGATGCATGAGTGTCTGTTGCTTTGTTGACCGGTCTGCGCTTGTCCAACGTTGTTCGTGCTTCTCAAACGTACGGGATGTTGTCTTGCGTTGTGCCGTGCCCGAGCAGCTTGGACAACGTGTGCGCGGAGCCCAATCCCAGCGATGCCCGCTACCTGGACGGGCTGCACAAGACCTACGCTCGTCACATGGACTTCCCTCGCACGCAGCCCAAGGACATGGTGCGCTTGCTTCCTTTCTTCCTTTCCCCCTTTCCTCTTTGCTTTCTTTTTACCGGTGAAGGTGGTACGGTGCGGCAAGGATAAGAGAGGAGAGGTTGTCGGAGCTAGCACTCAATGACATGAGGCTGTGTAAAGTATTTTTTTTTCTCTCTCCGGCAGGGAGTGATGGGCTTGTGGAGTCTTTCTTGTGAACTTCCTCAAAGGGTACGCGGATTGATTGATTGATTCATTCATGTCTCGTCTATCATAGGTGAAGCTCAAGCTCTCCTTGTTCAGTGCTACACGTCCAATGACCATGCCTGTTGCTTGCCCGTTCCGGGTGCTTTTACGTCCTCTCACGCGAAGTCTTAGTTGAATTCGGCGGAGTTGAATCCCGATTTTGATGTCTTTGCGGCGGCATGGTCCTCACACACAAACGTTTCCATGCCCCTCCTCGTGCACTTGGAAAATGGATGCCATTCAGCGCGATTGCTTCTGGGTGAAGCACTACGCCGGCAAGGTGAAGTACACCATCGGAGGCTGGGTGGAGCGAAATATGGACAGCATCCCGCAGTCCTTCAACGACACCCTGGCGACTAGCACCCTAAAGGTAAACGTGTGGGGGAAATAACGAAAGAAGGGACGAAGGAAGCCGGGAATTTTCTCTCTCCGGATAGTGTTCTGTGTCGCAAAGGCCGAGCCTCCAGTTCATGGTCTTGGCTCTCACGCCGTGCATGTCGTTTTATTTGGTGTTGGAAGGTGTGCTTGCTTGCGCACTGCCTTCCAAGTGTATCCATCGGAAGGAGGGTTGCGTTCGGGGCGTGTGTGTAGTATGTGTTTCGGCAGAGATTTGGTTGATGGGCAGCTGTTTCTTGGGCATGCTGAAGTCGCACGGAGCACCAGCTCCTCGTATATAGCCCTTTCGTGTAAAATTGTTTATCTCCTTTCTGAATGCAAAGATTGACGACTCTACTGCTTTTCGTTTACGCAAACATGATTCTACGGTGTGTGCGTTGCGGAGAACAAACGTCGTATTTTGTGCTTTGTCGGGCCTTTTGGACAGGTGGTCCAAGAGTCGGTCGCCTCTTATGGCCAGGTGTCTCCTGCCCCAGCAAGCAGTGGTCGCCGAGGCTCGGTAAGTAAGACATAAGACACAAGATGCAAGGGTCTGTCTGTCTGTCTGTCTGTCTGTCTGTCTCCCTTTGCTCCTTCGGTTGTTTTAGTTGTTTTAGTTGTTGTTGTTGTCGAACGTGCCAAAATGTGTGATAACTACCTACCCAGACTCACGTGGCGTGCCGCTTTCTTGCCCGCGCGATATCATGTTGTATGTTGTGGTGTAGTCTGTCGCTCCTTGTCTTTGCTTGCCTCTCCTCTCCCCCTACAGTATCTACAGTAGTATCTGCATCGTGTCACACCACAGGACCTTTTCTGGTGTCTAGTCTGCCAGTCAGTACATTCTCCCACATGCTCGGGGCGTTCGTCTGCCGCAGCGCCTGGAAGCCTCTGTTTCATTGGCGAGTGTTTGCGTGGCTCTTCACACGCAGTCTAGTGTTTGCGGCGAATCTGATCGCCATTCTGCGTTTCGGGGCTGCCTCTGCCTTTTTCTCAGAGCCTTAAGAAGCCGACTGTGGCCAAGAGCTTCTTGGCGTCCATGCGGAACCTCAACGAGACTCTTCTGGGAACGACGTGCAACTTCGCGCGGTGCATCAAGCCCAACGCTGCCATGAAGTGCGGTGTCTACGATAACAAGTGAGAGGGAAGGGAAAGGAGGGGTGGAAGGAGTTATGCTCAGGAGGTCTGTTGGACTGTCGAGCTCATCGGTTTTACTTACGGGCGAGTTCGGAGTATGTGAACGGCTGCTAGTTTTGGTATCCATCCTGGTTTTTGTAGAACGATTATTCGGGTTGCCCGCGATTTGTCATAGCGGCGTGCTTGAGCCAATGCTTTTTCGCTGTGCTTTTGCGTTTATTCTTTTTTTCGTTTCTGAAACCAACGCCAGGTATGTCGTGGAGCAGCTTCAGTGCCTGGGCATCCTGCAGACGTGCGAAGTGCTCAAGGTCGGCATGCCCACCCGCGTCACCTACACCGATCTTAAAGAGGTGAGGGTATTCTCCACTCCAAATGTGAAGTGTTTGACTTGTCGCTTGCAAGTTTGCTGTACAGCACCGGCAGCTGACAACAAGTTATGTGGGAAAGGTCGTTCGCAGGGAGTTCACGGTACAGGTCAAGCTGGTTGGTAGGTCCCATCAATGAGAACCGCGTTCCTGCCTGTGCTAAAACTGTGATCGATTTTCGTTAACGCTACCGGCGACCACTTGGAATGCCGCTGGTTGTCGTGACCGCCTCCGCTCGTCTTTTCCGTGTGGATAGCTTACGGGTGTGATCATGGTGGTGACGTTTTCGTTTTATGTCTCTTGTCGCGTTGTCGTCACGTTTGGTCGTGCCTCGACCTCTCTTCTGACGTTTCGCTTTGGGACTGTTGTGGGATACTGTGGGACTGACTGCTGTGACTGCTGTGGGGTGTGGTGTGGTATAGGTTCTGGGAAGCAACGCGGCGGAGGCGGAGAAGCTCTTCGCTGGAGAGCCGGAAACATCTCTCATTGCATCCATCCTCTGGGCGTTTGAGGTATGTACTGCAAGCTTCTTATGAACAAGGAAGGTGGTTCGTTGAATTCGATTCGTCGCTCGACGGGTACATATGCATGTGCGTGTTGTACTCCATTTGTCCCGTCATAGATTAACACCATTTTGTTGTGATTTTGTCGTTGGGATGGCAGGTCCCTTCAGAGGCGTTCCGGCTGGGCAAGACCCGCGTCTTCTTCCGCGCGGGTCAGATCTCCACCCTTCAGAAGATCCTCAACGAAACGCCGCCCGAAAAGGGGCCCTGGATCTTCGAGAGGCTGCAGGAGGCTCTGGCCAACAGGCAGAAGGCCAAGGCTTCTGCAAGGGAAGCCAAGGTCGGTCGGGGTTCGTAAGGTGGCATGCGGTCTGCAGCAGTGGTTAGGCGAAACTTCGGGAGCTTGAGTTTTTGACGTGCACGAAGGTTGGTTGGTTTTGTGTATGCGTTGGCGTTGTGAGGTGTGTGGTGTGGTGTGCGGCAAGGTTTGTCCTTGGTAAAGGTAAAGGTAATGGGAGGAGAGGGGAGGGGAGGGGAGGGGAAGGGAAAGGGGCACCCACTCTCGCGTGGGTATCGCCCATGACTTGCCAAGCTTTGCACGAATCGATTGAAACCATCGCGCGCATCTCTCTGCTTCACCGACCCCGTCCTCTCGATCGGTTGTTTTGCTGTTGCTATTGCTTCCGAAGCGCTAGCGTAACACGACGATAGCTCTTGGTACCAGCAGTGGATCTGGGCGTTTTTTTGCCATGTGCGGTGATAAAATGCAACTCAACTGCTAAAATGTATCAACACGACCAAGAACGCATCTAGAGGTGGAGACACCACTAATGACAAAATTCGTCACGCCGACCGACCATATAGGGGTCAACCACAGAGAAACGGACCGCTTTTCCACCGCAGCATCATAGCGCCCCCCTCTCACAACGCCCGCCCGATTGTGCCAACCGATTCACCCACCCAATACCTCTTGCTTGCTCCAGGCGGCTCTCGAAAAGGTCGAGAAGTCCATGGCGGAGGCTAGAGCCGCTACTAGCGGCATGCTGGAGCCCGACTCGGACGACGAAGACGGCCCGGACGTTTCGAGACGGTCGAGCATGATCGGTGCTCCTGCCGCCGTCAGCGAGGAGGACCTGGCCCCACTCGTGTTGGCGGCGAAGAAGGCTCGCGCGGCCGGCAGCACCGCCCCTCAGGTGTGGAAATGAGATGTGTTACCGTAGGTGACACAAGATACCACACACCCCAGATCGATTTTCGAAGCTCTGTTGCTCCATAGCACAAAGGGTGGTGGTGCCAAGTACAGCGGCGTTGGAACGATGTCGTCGAGAGCTTTCCGAAAAAAGTATATGGTTAGACTTAGACGTCCACTTTGTCGTGGAGTATTTGAGCTTTGGGAATCGGTCCGGGGGGTGTGTTATCTTATGTCACCTACGGTAGGTATCTGGTATCTGGTGAACAAACATGCATGTGGTGTGACGACCGGCCTGTTCGTAGACACCGCGCAGTAGCTATCAACTTGTGAATAATAGTCGGCCACAGGCGCCATCTGGTGAAAAGGTGCATGGCTGTAGTGCTCGTGGGGAGCGTCTCTGTATTGGGACCACGATGTGAGGGACGATGGCGATACAGTAGCTCGTTGGATGCGTTGGGGTGTTTGCCGTGACTAAACAGAGGATGCTCGCTGTTCTATGCTATCCCCGCTCGCCCTCAACACCAACCTTCCTCTGCTCCCCTCCTCCTTCCTCTCCCCACGGTATTTGTCTTGTCTACCCTCATGTGTCTGAACCTGATGTGTTCCGCGGTGTACATGCGGCGTGGCGGTTGTAGGTACAACAACTCCTGGGTGCGGTAGACGAAGACAAGATTGGCACTTACGCCATCGGGGTAAAGGAGCGTGTTGTTGCCGCCTCCGAGACGACGCTTGCGGACATCGACGACGCCGCTACCAAGTGAGACAGACAAGACTGACAGGCATACAGAGAACCATGGCTGACGTGGTTGACTGACCAACCTCCTTGCTGCGCTGTGCTGTGCTGTTAACTAGGCTGCCGAGTCGCCTCGAGTAGCGTCCTTGCAAAGTATGCATCTATATTCTTTGGGTGGCAGAGTGCATGATACGGATAAAAATCATGTGAAGCGGACATCGTATCGGCTGGCGACGGCCGAAGAACTTTGGCCGCCAGCCGGCGTTTTGCCTTGCCAAGCTGTGCTCCCGCCGGTAGTCCTGACCGACCCCGATCGTTGTCGCCGATCTTGTTCCAAAGCCATGCCGTGCCATGCCCTACCCAGTCGTGGTTTGGGTCCTGTAGACTTTTATAGACTAGGGTCACTGGTGTGGGAGCAGCGAAAACCCAACCAGCGTCGACAACACCGTTTGTTGCGCCGTTGGCTGAATGAACTCCAAACCTCGCTGGCTAACGCGCTGTCTCGCCTCCCGGCTGCCCACACACACGCGGCCAGGGCCTCCGAGTTGGAAGCGGACATCAAGACGGTCAAGGGAGGCGACGAAGCGACCGCGCTGCGCAGGCTCGAGGACGGCCTCAACAGGCTCAAGGCCTCCTTCAAGGAGGTGAAGGCGCTGGCCCAGGGCGCCCAGGAGGCCGCCGACAAGTGCCAAGTGCAGAAGACGGAGGAGATGGCTTCGGCCGCCACCGCAAAGGCCGCGGTGTTCGACGGACAGGCTCGCGTGGTGTTGATCGGGGCCAAGACGGCGGCGCAGGCCTCCCAGTTGCAGAAGCAGTCGTTCGAGAAGGCGAAGGCCGCGGTGGGGAGCGTGGCGGCCGCTGGGCAGAAGGCGGCGGCTTCATTCAGGTGTGCGCTGTCTTTGCGTGTTTTTTTTGTTGTTAACATCGACCGCGCTAACCGACTGACCAACGAAAAGACGTCAGTCTCAGTGCGGTTGAAAACACGAAAATGGCCATGATCTGGGACCCCGTGAGGGCGAGAGGTGCCGTGGGGGAAAAGGTGCGTGGTGGTTGTGTGGGAAAGTCTGTCCTGGTTCCCCCCGGTTTTTGGCTGGGTCGTGGGCACGATGCCAACCTCAGCGGAAGCCGCAGGCAGTACCCAATGATGTTGTCGCTGCGATCGATGGCTTCGAAGGAGTACTGTAGCAAGGGAAGAGTTGGAGTTGTGTAACGAGGCTCTTTCCTCCAAAGAAGCGCGGTCCATGGCGTCCCACGGCTTTTAAGTGTTTGGGACAATTAAAGGCACGGGTAAAAAACTTATCAAGTTATCCTCGGGGACACGACCAAGGGTAATAGCTGCAAGCTTACAGTAATCGGGCGGAAGAGGGAAAGGTTGCCTCGTCAACGTGTGCCATGAGCAACAAAACAAATTCTTAGCACACGAGGAACGAAGGAAACTGACGTCCGCTGTTGCTTGTCTTGTGTCTGTTCTTTTCGGTGTGTGCGTATGCATATCGCGTTTTTTTTTTCTTGTCTTTCGTGCGGCTGGTTGATGCAGCGCGTTCAAGGTGCTGGTGAAGGCGGCGAATGACGAGGAGGAGAAGGCAAAGGAGGCCAAGATGGCGGAGGAAGAGAAGGCGAAGGCCAGGGAGAAGGAAGCGGCCGCTGCCGCCGCCGCTGCCGCCGCTGCCTCCGTAGAGAAGCAAAAGCAGGAGGCCGCCGCTGCCGCCGCTGCTGCGGCAGAGACAGAAAAACAACAGGCCGCCGCCGCAGCCGCCGCCAGTGCTTCGGAGAAACTATCGGTCATGGACATCACGGACAAAAACGTCGACGAGGTAATTGTTAGCACAGCCAGACGTCGACACCATGGGTAACAGGCCAAGCCAGAGGATGGCTCTTTGTTGGCCGCCGGGCGAGGCCTTGACTTGTTTTTTCCAAGCGAAGGAAGGTACTGCCGTCGAGGCTGAGGCTGGATGAAACGGAGGAAATGTATGTTGCCGTTGGCAACTTTTGAATGCGACGCTTGTTGTCTTGTTGTTCTACTCGCTGTCTTGTCTTTCTGCCTGTCTTTCTGCCGGGAGCAGGATGGTCACGGCGACCTCGTATCGAAGGCCCCGCAGACTCGCGGCTTGTCGCGCAGGCGCACGGCGTCGGTTAAGGATCTCCTCGGCTCGCAGATGATCAGGACCCCGGAACCCAGGTAAACACCATGGATCGATCGCGTGGTCGGGTGTGGTTTGATGGTTTTGATACATGTTAATCTCGGGGCTCATTGGAGATCATGTGGTCAGGTCGCAGTTTTGTACCACGGACTACTATTCAGGGTTGGTACTCCTTACATGGATCAGACTTTTTGAGTGTCTGGCAACCATAACCATTGCATGTCCTAAGGACGAGCACCGCGGGACTGGCTGAGGCTTGCGGCTACGGCGTTCGAAACACCCACACCACCAAGGCAGTCAACCATAACCGCACGATCGATCGTCAATGACATGTTCTTCAAGTTTGTAAACTACCAGCGTGCGGTCAACATCCACCCATGGATAGCCCGGTAGGTCACCCGACACCAGGAAGACTTGCAAACTTTAGTGAACCGAAGGCATGCAGATTGCCTTGCCCACCCCGTTCTGCCGGGAGGGACTCAGATTCGAGCTGAACAGCACCCAAACTGTTTTCCTATCCGTGTGGCGCCCTTCGCAGCCCCCCTCCCAAGCAGAGCTCGGAGAACGATGCCACCTCTTCGAAGATGGTTTCGACGAGGCTTGGACCCAAGTCTGCGGCTGGCCGGAACCACTTCGAGACCGTGTTCCAAGAAGCAATGGAAGGGGGCATGATGGAGGTATGTATTGTATTACAAGCAGACCCACTGCTGCTGTGCTTGGGTGTGGATTCGTGGTTTTGGGGGGGTTGTTCTTGTGCGTGCGCATTTCGTGGCACCGCCTCTCTCAGGGAACAGGCAAGGAACACTATTGATCAATCCTCCAATCCCCATCCTCGCGTTCTTCTTACAATACAGCCAAGCTGTCGCTTCTCCCTGGAACGGAGGTAGTTTTTAATGTATTTCTATTTCTAGAGCCTTGGTGGTATGTATCCCGACTCCGTCAGGTCTAGTCACGGCCAACTTGTGTACCTACACTCAAGCGACGGCGCCCCCCCTCTGCTGCTGCTGCTGCTGCTGCTGCTGCTGCTGCTACTCGATGCTGCTGTGCTACTGGGCCGTTCACCTTCCTATGTACAACAGGGCCACCTGATGAAGCAGAAGAGGTTCACGGCACGATGGCAGACGTACTACTTCAAGCTGGACGACGGTTTCTTGACCCACTACGACAAGAAGTCCCTCGTCGGGACACGCAAGCGCAAGGTGATTACGTCCTTGCTGTAGGGTGTTGTGCTTGCGTGATCGGCGCGTAGGTACATGGATCTATCGGTGGAGATAATGCGTACGAACCGACCACGTTTCAGTAAGAAAAGAGGCACGAAGTCTCACCTTGAGGTCCAAAAAGGCTTGACTGCTCTTGCTGTGTTTCTAGTAGGGTATCCAGAAAATAACCCTGCGGGGGCTCCATGTGTCATCGCCGGTCTCGGCATGGTACACGGTCGATCGCTCACGTTGAACCAAACCAATCAAACGAATCAAACCTGTCCCCTTCCTTCCCTCCGGGTATGGGTATTATTGATGCTTCGACGACGTCTGCGTACGGCATTCCGCTGTCGCTTGCGCGCAGACGCTTGAGCTGAAGCCTCACTCTACTACGGCCTTCACCAACACCAAGTGCTGCTTCTGTGTACGCACGGGCCAGGTGAGCTTAAACATTGACGTGATGGCTTTCGTTTTCTTTGTCTTTATTGGTGGTATCGATCGCGCCTTGGAGCGATATTTTCTGGTGTCCATTTTTTTTTTTTTTCTCTGAAAGGTGTACCCCCCCGTTTGGTGGGACAGTTGGCTTGTGACCACGGAAGGCTTCCGCGTCAGTTGGACTGTTATACTATAGTATAGTACGGACATTAGAAGGTACTGAGCGGAGACCGGAACGGTTTTTTAAATGTGAAGACAACAACAACAACATCAGTCGCGATGACATCGAAGCATGGACTATGTATTGTGAATGTTATGGAAGAAAAGACGCGTGCGAAGACAAGACGTGCATGTAGTGGTTCAGGGTTTAAGGTCGGCTGCGTGCCGCTCGATTTCGATGCTGTCGTTTTGAGTTTTTTGTGTTGGATTTGGCCAACGTTACACGCTACGCATACGGTTGGCTGTGGTTTCGCGACAAGCCATGAAGTACGTACGGCGGTGGCAGTGGAAATAGTCCGTTGGTCAGATTTGAGATCGCAGCATTAACATTCCCGGTCTCACTCAAACTCAACGCGTTCCCCAGATACGTGGTACCTTGTATTCCAACCGCTACCTGCCATGTTCTTGTTTTCTGCCTACGTGCCCCGCTAATATATCTTTTTTTTGTCCCGTCGTGCCTTGACCAATCAATCTCTCTCTCTCTCTCTCTCCGTTGCGATTGCGAGCAGAACGCATGGTTCCTCATTGCCCAGGACCACGACCAGATGACGCAGTGGATGACGGCGATCAACGCACAGGTCTACAGCCTGTTCCTCAAGAACTTCACGCCGCCGGCGGACAACTACTGGGGCCAAGGGTACGTCACCAGTCACGTTGTCGTACCGAGTTTTTGTTGTGTGTGTGCATGCCTTCGTGTTGTGTAGCCCTGTGCCTTACTTGGTCGTATGCTACGGGAGGCCCCCAATGTGATTCTGACCCAGCCTGTACGCTCACTCACGTGTGAGGAAGCCGTTTGTAGCGGTGGTGAAGCTGATACCCTGTAGCATCGCCGCCTTTACCCTGAGGAACAAAACAGATATGAATGCAATGCAATCATGTGTGACTTCTCGAAAGAAGCCAACTAATCTTTTCCTTGCACTACAATACTATGTTTTGTTGAAGAAGACGTGACACCACCGGTTTTTTTGGTTGGTGTGCCACCTTGCTGCCGCAGCTCTATCTCTCACTCTCTCTCTGTGCCTGAACCACTCCTCATGTTGCATGTTGGCTGTCTCTTGCACCGGCTATTTCGAAGTTTCGAAAGAGAAACACTCTCTGGCACACCTGCCCCCCGGGAGAGAAAGCAGCTTGCCTTCCCGTTGTTCGGAGCGGTACTAACACCTCGATCACCGAACCACTCAAGAACCGAAAGAGAGCAACAGGGACAATCCAGTCCGGCCGGAAAAACGAACAAGACCAACAAATAACGTGACTAAACTCCTCTCATGAAACGCATGCTGTATTTGCACTGGTTTGTTTCTTGTTGTTTGTTTCTTGTTCGTTGCTTGTTGTGTTGTCAGGACGAAGGGGCGCTTCTTCTACGGCATGCCCGAGAATGGCGCATCGCAGTGGATCTACACACACCCGGAGGAAGGGGCGCCTCGCACCGGAGAAGGCGTCTTCCCCATGGAAGTCGTCGAGGTCGTGCAGGTGTGTGGATCTGTTCCTCTCTCTCTCTCTCTCTCTCTGTGTGTGTGTGTCTCATTCTCTGTGTGTGTCTGGAATTAGGCTCTCTTTGTGGCTGGCTGGGATTAGGCTCTCCGTGTCTTGATTTGATCTCTCTGTATCGTGCGGTTGGTGCAGCTTTTGCCTGTGGGAGAAGACCACCTCTGGCTGAGGCTTGCCGATGAAAGAGGGTGGACCTGCGGGAGGCACAGCAAGGACGGGGAGCCGTGCTTGGAGCAGGTGGCCGGGGACATTGTTGAGGACACGTGAGTGGTTTGAGAACACTTCCAACACCGATGATACGATACGTACTGTACCACACGCTTGCCCTTACTCAAGCATACGTTGACTCCGATGAGCCATCCAGTTCTCTCCCGTTGTTTGTTTTCTATGGTACATGGCACTCGTGTTTTTGTATCGTAGTATACCAGATCGAACGTGCGCTTGTACCGCTGTCTCGTCGTATGCGGAGCTTAGCTTGTACATTGTAGCAGAAAAACTGTTTGGGTCTGTATTTTCTTTGTCGCAGAGAAGCTGCTAGCCGTGTTGCTAGTATCTCTCCCTGGTGCCACTATTTTTTGTCTAGTTTTTGGACGGACATGTCTTTTTTTGTCTGCACGCAAGCGAAACCACCGCCGAATCTGTCTGCGTTTGTTTTTATCCCCAATGCTGTGGTGCCTTGTTGTGGCTTGCTTGCGACACAGGCGCGTGTACGAATTGCCGAGGAACCAAGAACAGGGTACGCACGTGCTCTGCGGTCCCGCCACAGCCTCCGAGGTCACGGTGAGTAGTGCACCAACGAACCAACATGACCGTACCTACCCGTTGGACGGACTCTTGACGTCGCTGTCCTATTTAATACAGTATGTGATGATTGCGGACGGCGAGGCATGTATTTATGGTGTCATTTGCCCCCCCCCCGTCTCTGCGTCTCGCTAGAATTGATCGGGTCGTGCACCGCTGAACGCACGGCATTCCTAAAAAAGAACACAAGCTACTGTAACAAATACCATACCATTTGATACGGTGCGCGAGACCAGTTTCCTGTGCCCCTCCACCCCCTCCTCCTCCTGTCTTGCTGCTTGGCCGAAGACATCCACCACTACCACTACCACTACCACTACCACCACCACCACCACCGCCACCACCGCCACAAGACCGAGATCAATGAAACGGTTCCAATCTTGTTTGCAACCAATGGTATTTATTGATGTGTCTTGTCCTTGTCCGTCTTGTCTGCCTTATCTGTCGACAGGGCGAGGTGCTGGACCCGGGAGACCGTGTTCAGGCGGTCGAGAAGTTTACTCCTGCGGGAGCAGACTCCGGTAAGGCTCAAGGGACGTCATGTCACGTCATGTCACTGCAACCTTTCATCTTGAGAATGTGTGGGATACCCTCTTTACTGTGTACTTCTCTTGGCGTAATATTAATGTGGGTAGTTTTTCTGATTTTACCTTAGATTTCTCTGAAATTTCCTTGTTTTCGTAAACCACGTTCTTGCAATATGTTGTTCCCACAATCTACCGCCCATTTTGTCATTCCGTCTATGCAGGTGTCGTGTTCATCAAGCTGGCCGAGGGAAGAGGCTGGGTGCCGCTCAACATTCGCGATATTTAGCGCTCGGGACAGATGAAATCCATTCAACAATGTTGGTCGATTGATTGCACGAGGAAAGATCGATCCAGAAAAGTTCAATGGCACGATGGTTACTATACTAGGGGGCTACCGGAACAAAGCACGTCGTTGAGGGAGGGAGAAGGAGAAGGGGAAATAAGGCCTGCTCGAACGGACACGTGCACCCGGTCAAGCGATGCATGCACGTCTCCAGTCGATGGTAGGGATATGCGTGGTATAGGCAGGCGCGTCGTAGATAGCAATCAATCTCTTGGCACCGGCGGGGGTGGTTTGTGTCGGTCGTTAAGCGTGGCACATTTGGCGGCGATTCGCGTCAAGCCCTCCGTTGTCGTAGTATTATTCCTCTTAACAGTAGTGCAAGCGCGGTTCTGTAGTGGGTGTAGAACTATGTCGCATGACGCTGGTAATAGGGTGATAAGGGAAGGATTCAACGGAAGGACACTATTAATACTACTGTTGTGTTTTTTGTGCAGTTCCACCGTGGTTGTGGCTCCGGCCCCCTTTGATTTTGTCTTGGTTCATGTACGAGGGGGATATTTCTTTTTGCTTGCACAACGCGCTATGACTATGACTATGACTACCCCGGCGTATCTAGTGTCAACCTAGGTTGCTTTCGTTCTTCGGGCAGCCTATGCCTGTATTGTTGCTTTCTAATCCAGGAGAGCTCTCAGAATCTACTAATTGTATTCGTACGTATGCTACAGCGGTAGGAGCATGGCATGCAAGAATTTTCCTGTTTGTTGGTATATCTCCCGTGTTTTGTCTTGTCTTACGTTTGTCCTGTCCTCTTCTCGTTTTGGCGCCGTCAGGCATCCACATCTCACATCTCCCTCCCCGTGGCGGCAGCGCAGAGTAACGGTGTGTGTAATGTAGAATGCCGGTTGTTGAGTGGTGCACGTTGGTCCAGTGTGAGTGCCGGACAGTGCGCTGCGTGAAGCACCTAATAATTGAAAGAACATCGGGTCGTCTTGCCCCTCCTGTTCGATGAAGCAGCGTGCGTGTTGGTTGCCGTCGTTGAGAGGAGGCCCGCTCGAGAAGCACGACTGACTACTACGGGTGGTCTTGGCGGCTGGGGCACGGATAGCTTATCCTATCTGCACCGAAAAGAGCGCCAGAAAGCAAAGGTCCCATCTTGGTCTTCTCTGCATCTTCCATCTTTCCATCTCCAGAGCACTCTGTCTGCCCGGTATGCGAGTCTCGCGTAAGGAGAAGAGACACACAGATGTGGAAAACCTTCCCCACTCCTCACTGCTTTGTTCTCTTCCGACGTGCGGCGTCAGCCTCTCTTCCTGAGCTGTGTATCCACGAGCCACACGGTACACGCAAAATGCGAGGCAAGGCGTGTGGTCTACATATTTTCGTCCTGGCAATACAACGAACTGCATATCCCGCTTCTTCGTAACGGCACACATTCCACAAGTGATAATTACCGTCAACACCCCGGTGATTTTTCATGTGAGCGAGGGTTGTACATGTCAACTGAATATGCTACGCCCGATCCAGAGTTTTTGGGGGATCCCACACATTTTAGCCAGGTTGTGTGCGTTGGCATTCATTCGCAACTGACCGACACACACTCCTATTATCACTGGTGGGTAGTGTGGGGAGGTTGAGAGGCCGGGATCAACCTTACTTAACACATTTTTTGTCTATGCTGCCAGCCCACCATGTTAGCCACTCTCCGAGATACCGGAATGCCTGCCCACTTTGGGGCTTTGGGGTGCGCAACCTCCCCCCCCCAGGTTAGTAACCGGTGCCCGACCTACCCACAACCTGCCTGACCTCTGGCCACGGGGGGTATACCCGTACACAAAAAACTCGCACTGCCGTGCACCACACAGGTATCAATCAAAACTACAAACTGTAACTGTGTACACGTGATAGAGCGCACGACTAACACACATCTATCTTACGGGGGTGCTCGACTTTTTCTTCTAATATTTTAACCAATATCCAAGATCGTTCAGCACATGATCCCTACAATATTCGATAACAAAGGAGACAAGAGTCACAGGCAATCAGCGAATCGACAGAGACAGACACACCACACCACACGGCCGACACGACACGACACGACACGGATCCCTTGTACAGGTAAGTAATCGCCGGCGACACGCACGAGAGAGACAGACAGGACAGAGGGATAGATTGGCTCCGGTCGGCCGGACAAACAAAGGCCTTACATCCTTGTGCGACATCCGACATCCTACTCTACACGACGTCTGAAGGCCCGTCTCCACCAAAATAATGCGATCATGTCGACAACTTCACACGAACGACTTTCCTTGGTGCAGTCTGCGAGGAAGCTCCCCAGCGGTGCACCGAAATTTGTACATACATGGCATGGGAAGTCGGTCACCCCCGCCGCACGTCGATGCAATTGCAATGATGTAGCCATGGCTCAACCACTAAGTAGTCTATCGCCACATCGACGTTCATGCTGGTGCTGGCCTGCTGGCCTGCTGTCGACGTGTTTTTCGACGCCAGAGAGGCCAAAAGGTTGAACATGCCATGCCAAATACTTTCAGGCTTCCTGGACACTACGCCAATGCCCACCTAATAATACCTCGAGGTCAAAACATCTACACTCAGAACTACACCAGCCCCCTTAGAGACGAATATTTATCGACAGGGCAAAGAAGCCCATCCGAGTCGAATGCTATCAGCATGAAAAAGCTTCACCTCGACTATTATAGTCAAGTGGACCAGATTTTCCGCGAGTAACCCTGTTCGAAGGTACAGTCCAACGCGACCCCGCTCTGCTTGTACCACCACCTACCACTGCCACATGGAACTCCGTCGATCCATGACCCCTCAAAAACTCCAGAAGAGAACCCGCTCTTCTCCCCGAAATCAATCTTTCCACCCCCGTGGGGAACTCCCTGCTCCACGTGACCGCAAAACGTAGCCCCGCAATATGTCATCGTACCGTCGCCGTGGGGTAAACCGTGCTCGAAGTTGCCCGAGTACCAGGCGAGTTCCGACGACGCTTCGTCTTCCCGCTCCGCTTCCTCGCCCGTGTCTTCCCCGCCCTTCTGACGTTTTTCTTTTTCCAGCCGCCCCTGCACCAGCGTGCCCGCCCCCGACCTGATGCCATGTCGCCAGGCGCCGCAGAAGCGCTCGCCTTCCGCCGTGTCGACGAACACGCCGTGGCCGTGCGGCAAATCTACAAGTGAAATATTTGGAACAGTGTGAGGGAAATAAAGTCAACCGAATGTGTTATAATAGCAATTATGTGAAATCAAACCCAACAAGCAGTATGGTTCGGTGACAGTACATATACAGGACAAGTTTTGGGATAAGTTTAAACCAGAAGAGTCTTGTGCTTGGTGATAAGTTGACGGTTGGAGTGACGATTGATTGTCTCACGCCATTGTTTAACCATTGTGGTTCTTCTCAGAATTTCAAGAACACAGATGAGCATGGGATCGACCGAACGTGTACATGCATTACAAGGGATCCATCGGAGTGGGCTCATGAGAGCACAGCAGTGTCATCAAGTGGTCGATGCAAGATGAAGGTAATAACAGGTAGCAGGACCAGCCCACGGCTGGCTGCCCCGCTGCCAGTTGTGTCCTTCCCGAGCTCAACAGCTCACCAAGCTTAGGCTATGTGTTTCGACGCAAAGAGCCCAGCGAACCTCAACAAACCATAAATATTTATACATGTACCCAAATCTGCAAAAAATCTTACATACCGTTTTCCCAATCCCCGTCGTAGGACCTAGTATGACTCCCTCTAGCGAGCTCGAGCCGACCCACACCATGTCGACGACCGGCCTTGAAGTCTCCCTCGTAAACGCCCCCCGAAGCGTAGTGCATTGTCCCCACGCCGCTCCTCTCGCCCGCCAAGTAGTAGCCCTCGTGCCTTGACCCGTCCGCCCAAGTGAAGGACCCGAGGCCGTGTTTTCGCCCGTACGCCCACGACCCGAGGTAAGAGTTACCGTTGGGAAGGTGCAGTGCCCCCTTTCCGTGCACCACGCCTCCGTGCCAGCACCCCTGGTAGAAACCCTTGTCCGGGAACGTGAGGTTGCCCCAGCCATGGGGCACGCGCTTCTCGCCTCCCTCTCGGCGGAGGAGCTGGCCCTCGTAGGCCAAGCCACCCGTGAACCACACACGATGCACTGATGATGACCCGTCGCCGGCATTGCTGCCACGGCTCCCGCCAGAAGGCAGTGCCGATACGTCTCGAGGACGGTGGTTCTCGAGAAAGAGGTGTAGGATTAGCGGAATAGGAGGGGGCGGAGGCCAGGTGGCCGCTCCCTCTTTCGTTGCGGCGCCCACGGCGGTGCTGTTCTCCCGTGTGTGCCGCTGCTGCTTGTGTCCTTGACCTGCGGGCTGAGCATCTTCTGTTCGTCAGGAAGAAAAGCGCCGTTGGGTACGAAAAGTCGAACGATTACTGGGGCACCGGTTTGAGCAGGTACACACAATGGTGGGCACGACTGTTTACGAAACGGTGCAAATGACAGACCGTAGGGGCATCCGAACTCCAACGGAATCGAAATGCACAAGAGCGATTGCGCGTGACACCACTTGTACTACGTGGGTCTACATGCTTAGAGAACCAGCAATCTTTTGAACAACTAGCGCATAGTTTGGCCGTGAAGACCAAGGTTCTCTTGTCCAGGCGTTTGGCATCATGACCTTGCCCCCTTCAACCGGTAGAAAACCAGGAGGAGTCCACACGCTCAAGGTTCGACGTGCTAGCGGAGACAAACTTGTCTTCAGCAACAAAGCAACGAGCGGGGTACACACGTGACAGCATGCTTATCGAATGTCTCGATGCAGACACGGGGAGCGCGGTGAACGACAATTTTTTTCGTCTGCGTCTGTCTGTCGGGGACAAGGGCGTAAATCGGTACCAGTCTTAACCCAAGGCGATGAAGGCCGCTGGCTTAGGATGCCTTCCATGAAGTACTTCCGAAGTATATCAGTGAGGTAGGTGTGATTTGGAGGCGACGTGCCCGTTGGCACCCATCCTCAGATCTGCTGCTGAGGCGCCAGTGATACTGAAGGCAGCCGCCAACCATTTCGTAAACGAATCTGGATCCGAACCAAACATTCTTCACTGCTGTACTCGCCGCCACGAGCCTCAATCTCCTGAACTGCGGGTCGTCCAAGGCGGCTAGGTATGAGCCACATTTTGTACTGCTTTAGAACTTGAAGGTCAGGAAATCGGGTCTGTGATGGGGTGTGTACATACGCATGCAACATGTAGAAGTAGCAGGTGAATGCTCGGGACGCCGATTTATGTGCAGGTTTTTCGTTTTTCTGTCCTCACTCAGCCGCTGCCTTCGATATGAATCACAGAGAGAGACCGAACAACGGCACATTTCAGCGTGCCAGCACGCACATTCCTGCTCCACGATGTCCACATCATTTAAGGGTAAATACAAAGACCTGAACACCCCCACCGTATCGGCAGTTTTCGTTTGACTTTTGTTTACTTTTATATGGACAGATTGTTTGGGTTTGAGAATTTTGTGGGGGGGTTGTACAGTACACAGTAGTAGTGGAACCGCTCCTCCTCTGTGCGGCAAACAACGGATAAATTACTGTTGTCCAATTCCCCACAGATTTAGATATGGTCTACATGGTTACATGGTCTCATGTAATATTTACAGTGTGGCTCGTGTGTGGTTGACGGTAGATAACCCCTCGGACATACAGCAGTAGTACCCTACAGGAGGAGTATATTGAACAACCAGTCAAATTCAACTCGAAGATGTTTTTTTGTGGTTGCCCACGTTTCCTCCTACAATCAAATAGAGCAGGCCCACAGCATCAGGCACACATGACATGGATACAACACGGCGGACCTGAACTTGCAAATCATCGGGGCACTCGTTCTTCTCTGGCTGCCCCCAAACAAACCTGTCGTTGATGTTCGGACACGATCGGTCGCTGGGCTTGGGGTCTCATTCTCCTTCCCTCCAACCCCGTCTCCGAGACCTCCAGATTCAGACCGCTCCCTGGTGCTAGTCATCGAACAGGACGCGGCCTCTCTTGCCCGCTCATGATCCAACCCCTTCCTCCGAGGTCCTTTGTTGGGCGAACGGCCTACACGAGGCTCCGAAGGATTGTGCACACGTACAGCGACAGCAGCAGCGTCACCATGCGGTGTTACTGCAGGGGTAAGGATGTGCGAAGTAGAGGCAGCTGCTTCATGATCATCACCGGTGCATGAGCCGCCACTGTTGTTGTTAGGTACGCGCCCGCTTTTCTTGCTCAACGGCAGGATGGGCGATGACTTGTTGTCATCGAGGTCCAGCTTTGCTCGAGATACTCGAGATGGGCGTGGCCGACGGCTGTCAGCGGGTGGAGGCTGTGCAGGGAAGTCTCGGCTCTTGCCACAGCCCATCTTGCTGTGCTAGGCAGGGGTGGTGGTTGGTTGGGGAGTTGGGAGGGAGAACGGAGACCGCATTTTTTTGGCGGGAGATCATGCGCCCGTTCGCTGGTTGCGAACCATGAGAGAAAGAACATGCATGGCAACATGACAACCAATGACGTAACGGCAAAAAACTCCAGTTAAAAGTAGAACTCGGAACAACTCTTTCCCTTCCCCCATCCCCGGTTCTTTGATCAAGCCTTTTGGTTCCCACCAGCCTGGTCCCGCCCGCCGATCCCGCCAACTCCCGCCAAGCCAACAAACTAACGGTACCCTCTCTTGGAGCATGACTGCCATCGCTAATGCATTGGGCCTGGGGAATCTACCGGTTGGCATCCAATATGCCGTGATCGGATTGGTGAGCTCGGGAAAGGAGTGGAGGTGTTTATTTTACAAATCTGTGGTCGATGAAATTCAACTTTTGCTCCCTCACAACAGCAGGTGTGCAGCAAGCAATGGCTCTGCAATAGTGGACTTATTTGATGTAGGGAGAGCCGCGATGATTCTTGGTTGGTTCAGCACCCTGTGGTATCTTCCATACGGTGCCGTTTATCTCCTTTGTGGGGGTACTGCGGTCGTTAGCTCGATACAGCGGTCATACTACGATACTACTGCTGTGTAGGGACTGCCGATCTGCCGATGCGGACTACGGGACAGGTTCCAAAATCGCTTGTTACCGCTGCAACGCTGCAACTCTACTTGCAGCGTGTCTAAACGGCAATCAATGTAGACTACCGCTATGAAGTCAGCCATAGCTCGCAATAGCGGTTACGTGTTTCAAGAGTAATCAAGGTACGGGTAGGGTTCGCGCCCTATCTGCCCCCAGCCAGTCAGACGCCTCTGTTCATACTTGCAGCTTGCAGCAGAAGCTTTTTCCTTTTCCGCCGCGTGACCTTTTTTTCATTTCTACCGCATCACTTGTCCACGAACAAGGTGGTCGCTCATGTGCTGGCTTTCTCGTACTGGCTACTACGCATCACGACCGATAAGAAGCGACTCGAGATGCGCTTCAAGGAGGAGTAAGGGGCGGGGAAACGAGGAGCGAGGAGCGTGTCAGAGACTTGCTGAGTTCGGCTTGTGTTGCTTCCGCGAACTCAGTACGTGCGGGCGGCTGCTGCTGTACGATGCTCCTCTTGTAATCTTGTAATTGTAGGATTGAACTTTTGAAAGATTAAGGTTAGTGGTAATGTGAAGTTTCTCTTAGCGAAACGAAACCGATAGGGTAAGTCGGTAGCTTGCCCGTGGGCATGTTTGGGAGTGTTTTGGTCGTTGAATGCTGGCCAAACATACGAGGTTACCGAGGTGCGAGAGGTACCCTTGCTTTGCTTCCGTCACATGGAGCATTTGGGCGATGCATGTCACAGCGGCGCGATGCCTCATTGGTTCGTCAAGCCCTGTTTCTTTGCGCACATGTAAGCATAGCGTTGCCCTAGATTTGATAGGCATGGAGGTCGGGGATGAATTCCAACAGCTTGCTTGACCCACAAGACGTTGGTGCTGGCAAGAGTATTTATCCTCGCCACCCCGAGGTCCTTGAAGCACCCGGCAAACCCTTTCATCAACAGCCCTGTAGGCCTAGATAGTGCAGCTCCTCTCCTTGTAGTTCTTTTGCCGTGTACTAGAATCTGCGGATGAGGCGAGATCAAACATGCGTGAGCGCAAGTAAGCACTTTGGCGCCGATGAACGGATGCCCAAGCGGGTGTAGCGCTGGGTAGTGCTGTATCCCGATAAATTCTGGGTGAATGCCCCGGGGGTGCACAAAAGGATAGAATGTTCTTTAGTTTGGCTGCAGAGAACGCGTTGGGGCGTTCTCAAAGGTACGCAGTAATGGAGGGGCGAAAAATACTTGAAAAAAAAGGGGGGGGAGATAAATCCCCGCTGGCGTTCGTCTGTTCTTTTTCGGGCTTATCCCCTCGACCCACACATTAGCACCTACTTGCCGACCACCTCTTGCGCTGGAACCCACGATGTCGGGGCCCAAACATCTACCAGAGGGTACCCAAGAAGCAGAAAGAAGATTAGCTGGGTTGGCCGGCGATCTTCGCCCCCGGGAATGGCAATCCGCCCCCGCCCCCCACGTTTTCCGTTGTACGTTTATTTTTCCTGCCCTCTTCGTCTTGCATTCGTTGTCCCGAAATCGGCAAGTGCAAAAGTATTGCTAGGTGCTTCCTGAGCTCAAAGGCGTTCACTCCATCATTGCCAGGGCTTCTTCCATGATTTTTCTCGACCAAGCTGACCAAGCTCCTTGATCGGGCGACGTATCCTCAGCCTAGACAAGACACCAACCGAGATAGAATGCGAACTATGTCACCTGCGGCAATCCAAGAAGCACATCACAGAGCCCTGCGTGATGGATTGGTTCTATTCTAGCTTTACACAGCTTCGTCTACATCTCCTCACGCATCCATCGTGCCGTTGGCATTGTTCCGGGCACCGCGGGGCCCTTCTCAATGTCATTTCCGCCGCCGCCGGCTTCCTCTACATGTCTACCTCCATCTGCAGCACCGTCTTGATCCCCTACTTCGCTTTCACGGCCCGACGTATCAGTGCGGTTGCCAGGCGAGTGTTCCTCTAGAACTTGTCGCATCGTCACGACCAACTCCAACAACCCTCTAGACTCGAGGGCGCTGGTTTTGTGAACGTCATCGTGCCAACAAAGAATGCGCAGGTTACGGGGAGAGGGTATGCGGGAGGGAGTTACTTGGGGTAGATTAACATGAAAAATTGGTGAGGACTTCTCAAAACCTCAACCTTGTACCAACGACGTGTGTAATGAAAGTGCAATAACCAAAATCACTAGTGTAGGACCAAGTTATTGACCATTGAAGCCCAAGGACCATGAATAACCGCAAGGCCACTGTAACTATAACATTGTCGTTCCGAAACATCGGCATGATTCATCCTCTTGTTATCCTCTTCACACCTGATAGGGACGACTGGTAGAGGACCGGCAGCACTGCGCAGCCTCTCGAGATGCCCTTCGGTCTCTGCGCCACCATCGCGAAAGAGAAACAAGGGAAACCCACAAAGCATAGGGTGGTCATCACATCATTCTTGCGAAACGTTGCAGCCAATTTAGAAAACGCAGCGGGGTAGTTAAGGAATTCAACACACTGCTTGCCATGCCTCTAGCATGGTTGGTTTGTGTGGCGACTGACCCCCGCCAACGTGCCGGAGCTGCCAAACTTTCGTTTCCACTCAAAATGTTTCGCGCTTGAAATTGAGTGCTAGCCGTGCGACACAACCAGCTACACCCAAACACATCAAGGAGTCGTATTGAGATGAAGCCGTTGACACCCAAAACGTCAAGACGCAGAACACCGGGATCCCCAAACAATCCATGGAACACACAAAGGATGATTCGTGTGCGTTGACATACGTCGAGCGTTGTGTCTTCCTGCTCTCGCGGGAGCCTTAACCTTTCTCCGACTCTCCCTCACCGGTGACACGGTTAACTTACCCTGCAAGTCAGTCTTGTTCGCCACTACGAAAGCCGGCTTTCCTGCCAGCTCGCCGTCGTACAGCCTCAGCTCCTCCTTGAGGCTCATGAGGTCATCCACCGGGTCTCGCCCCTCCGACCCCGCTGCATCTACCACGAACATGAGCGCCCGAGTCCTCGACACGTGCCGCAAAAACTCGTGCCCAAGCCCACGATTTCGGTGCGCCCCGTCGATGAGACCGGGGATGTCTGCCACTCGGAGGCGGATTGTGTCCTGAAACATAGAGGCGGCGTTGTGATTGTCGTTGTGTGTTATGTGAATGAACACAACGGAGGGTCCACATAACGCAGTGGATGACTTGGGAGCAACATGAGCTGAGAGACGTTAAATAGCATCGCCCACCTGTCATGTTACTGGAGGCGACGTAGTGGCGTAATGGCTTTTAGACATCGCCCTCTCCAAAGGGATGAAAAACACTCAACCCGTGCGGAAAAGAAAAGGGCAAACATCTGCCGCTGCTGCCATGATGGCGAAATGAAGGCTTGGGTGTGCCGAACGCCGACAGCGACCTTATTCTTCATGACAACTCCACGCGACGACCAAGGAAACATGACCTATTAAGGAGGTGAAGAAACGGGGTTGCGACGCTGGTTATTATTCCCATACTTTATTCCTATACAAAGAAAGAAAACAACCTTCCCGCCAGGGTTAGGTGGTGCATTCTACTGTCATCAGTAGAGGACACCATCAAGAGGCGTCATGCGTATGTCGAAGGTCGCAGCAGCCTCTGAAAAAGTTTGAAATCTGCGCCGGAACCAAGCGGCAGCCAACTTTTGTCGCAGCCATGCTGGGGTTACGGCAGTAGCTGATGCCACTAGCTGCTGCTGAAAACCCTCGGTTCAGGGTTTTACGGTCCGTGGCGGTCAGCACAGCAGTGACAAATGTTGGCTGCCGCTTGGTTCCGGAGCAGATTTCGGACTGTTTTCAAAGGCTGCTGCGACCTTCGATATTTCAGTTCCAGTACCAAACCTGAGCGTGCCAGCACGCACGATGCCTCTCCATGATGTCCTTTACTGATGACAATAGAATGTGCCACCTAACCCTCAAAACTGACCTTGGTTGAAGGCCTTCCGTTTTGGCTCTTTTGACTTGAATTTAGAATAGTGTGAATTTCTATCTTGATTTCAAAGGAGGCGTGTGGAGGTAGACGCGTGAAATGTATGTTTTAAGCAGCCTCTACTGCCGCCCTGTGCGAGAATCAACGAATTCTGTGTTTCGCGATGCCTTCAGCCTGGTCTTGTGTGTCTGTTGTGCAATTTCTGGTGCTCTTGCGTTTGTTTTCAAAATTCGTCGAAATCAATTTTCGTCTGGTGCACCCCCTTAATACCTGCTCTTAAGGCAGCGAGCAGTCACATGTAAAGTCGTACGTTGTGTTTTTCTCATTGTTTCAGCCAGCCGTGCTGCGACTCCGACCTGGCTTCCGTTCTCACGACGTGGCTACACTGGCGTGCGTCGCTCGCTCACTCTCTCACCGAGTACTCGACGTGTCCCACGACGGGCGTAAGGGTAGTGAACGGGTACATGGCGACCTTGGGCTTAGCGCTCGTGATGCACCCGAGCAGGGTAGACTTGCCGGCGTTCGGGTACCCCACAAGACCCACGTCCGCGATTGTTCTCAGCTCGAAGCGGTAGTGCCGGCTCTCTCCGCGCTGTCCAGGAATTTTCTGAATAAATTCGACGCACGTGGTACGCGCATCGTGAGAGCACATGACAGGAAAGGGTCATCAACCAGCACAGAACATGTTCAAAATGGCGGTTGGGTCGGGGAAACGGGGGAGCTGCACAGAGATACAGCGGATATTCAATGACTTACATCAATGACTAAATTGAGCCTTCGGCCATACGTACTGCACTGGGACACCCGAAAACAGGTTTCCACGTGTATCTTTGTTTTTTTCTATTTTGTCCTTTTCGTTGCTTCCCCGGATGGCCTTCTCTCTCTGTGTGTGCAGTACCAAGGTTGATCCAGGGGATGTACCTCTCTCTCTGGCATATGATGATGTAGCGTGTAGAGGGGGGGGAAGGGGCCCAGACTACCTGTCCTTGAGTTAAGTTGGCTTGGTTACCCTTCGGGTCCATTATATTTGAGCATACCATTTTGGGCAACTTGGCCTGTGACCACGGGAATGATCGGTCAAGTGTTTTGTCAGTACGGACAGATATGAAGGTACGGTTGTTAATGTGAAGACAACAACAACAACAACAACAACAACAACAACAACAACAATCAGACCTGTGAGCTAGCTGTGAGCTGAGACAAACATCGTCGCCGTTACAAGTCCACACAACGGTAGGCGACGAAAGTACGAGCAATATCCGTGGTTTCACACCACCAGCGGGCTGAATCATTCAGCCTCATCTCGGCCCTGGAAAACAACACGCGCACTGCACATACGATCAGCATGAAGAAGGCAAGCTCCCTTCGATAGCTGACAACACGGGATGGACGCCACTCGCTCACCGTGCCCACTCTGCGAGACGCCACGTGCAGGTTACCTAGCCCCGGTTTTCCTCCTGACGCCAAAAGAACCTTGTCGCCATCCTTCTCCAAGTCGGCCACATATCGCACTTCTTCTTCTTCTCCCTGGTTCACACACAACAAGGTGTGCGGATTCGCCGAGGGCGCGAGGGTGATCGTATGCATGCTCAACACAAGAAGCATCCATACCCAAAGCTTGGACTAAGTTTCGGAGACAGTAACAAGCGTCGGCAGCAGCAATTCAGGATGCGGCAAAATCCAGGGGGTTGGAAAACCTCAGGTAAGTCCGTCTGCCCCGCCAGAAAATATCAGTATGGTCACAAGGTGCTACGGTAGAGCCATGTACCGACTCTTGAAGGAGGTCGTTTTACCTCCTCGCCGTTATCTCCGCCCCAATAAATGTCGCCGTCGAAAGCAGATTCCTCGCCTCCTTCTTCGCCCTCGGCTCCTTGTGCGATTGACTTTTCCCCACCGCATTCGATCCCGCCGGCCAGTGCCCAAGGATGGAACCCGTAGTGTTCTTCTTCCTGATCCATATGGCAAGGGAAATTCAAAGGTGCGCAAGCAGACAGCGTATTGAGAGATTCAGGCATGAAGGAAGCTCTGCAGTACGCGTACTCGAGGGATACGGCGACGGCGGTTGAAAAATCTACATCCCACAAGGCCGATTCGTCACTGAATGCGACATGAGTATAAAACGGAATTAAGCCATCCCGAGCCTGCTTTGCTCAATACGTGTTCCAGATCTGGCGCACAGCTCCTTCATCACGATCGCATGCCCCAAAGGATTGAGCATTGGCATTCGATTCGATTCCCGCCACCGGCGGAGCATGTTGCGATACTGGAGGCGCTCAGGCATAAGAGAACAAGAGGACGACCACCAAGCAAGCACATACTCACTGTACAGTGTACGGGCGTAAGGGGTGCTGCTCCGTAAGAGGAAAGAGGAGATACATGATTCACTGCAAGCACGACTCGACGCACTCCGCTCCTACGATGCAGCACGAGCGATTCACTTGCCTGCACCACCTCCGAAACGAGCGTGCCGCACGGAACTCGAATATAGGCGTCCTTGCCGGTCCTACCCTTCTTCCCAGACCCTGATGACACAAGATGGCACAAGATGACACAAGTCGAGTGCACACGGCACCGCAAGGACGAGGGTAAGTCTCAAAAGGCTCAGGACGTCATACTTGGGTGCCCAGCCAGCTGCAAAAGATATGGAATGCTCGACTGCCGACGGCATGCCGCAATCCTTTTTTTCCGGCGGGCCTATCATCGCAGCAGTAGCACCGTGCATGAAGGGCTCGTCTCCAGAGAAGAACGCCTCACACAGCAGTGTCGAAACACGCCAGATGCTTTGCGGCCCATATAACCAAAAAAGGTGAACGCAAACCATAGCTGTTAAATCACAACGCTGTTTATCAACTGGAGCATGTATCTGCCCCACTCAGGACTACAGTTGTACAAGAAAAAAAAACGCTATGTAGCCCCCCCCCCCCCCCCGCTCGGTTCAAAGGTAAAACATCAATCTGTAGGGTTTCCTTTTGCCTATTCGCGCGTGCTCCTCTGTGGTGCGTCCAATTTTTGTGGAGGGTCGCTGTTGAAATCGATTTCTGTCGTCCTTTTGGTTCCCGGATGGGCAGAATGTACTCAGCACTCAGCACGTCCCGAGTGCATCGCATCATGCGGTGCGCTGTGTGAAGATCTACCCGCGCTGGACCGCCGCAATATTGTTCCGGATATAAAGTATTTTTGGTTCTCGCTAGGTTCTGTCCGGGGGGTTCTGTATGACGTTGGCGTCAAAATCAGCTGGTCAGAATAACGCACCATGGAGGCACACCAAGCCACAACGTAAGCATGCATCTCCCTCGCTCACAACTCGCAGGAGTCTCTAATAGCTCCCACAACTCTCAGTTTTCTTTCGGTCTTCTGGCGGCTCCCGGACGGGAATAACGGACGCAGCGCGCCCGTAGCGCGCCCGTAGCGCGCCCTGCGGTGCACTGCTGTGCCTTGAGAGCTACCCGCACGGACACTTCCCTCGTTCCCACGGAGTAGATACGACGAATGTTCTTTCTTTCTGTCGATCCGATGTGTACAGTAGATATCTGGGAAAAACGTATGTGCCAGCAGGGGACCCCCGCCCTCACCACCACCTGCCATGCGGGCAAGCGGGAAAACATCTCTTCAAAAAATGGGGAAGAAAACGCGGCTTGCCGAGTTCCGAGGCTCCCTCCGAACGACTGCCTGATGTTGCTGCTGCTGTTTCCCCGCCACAGCAAAAGCATCAGCCAAAGTTTCACACAGAACAGACATTTTTGGCACACGTACACACAGAGTCGCCATCTTGTGTTGATGTGTGCCCCGGGATTCAGCGCTGCAATTAACCTTTGCAGCACCTTGCCGGACATGATCACAAGCCTCAGCCGTGAGGCACCGTTTTCAAATCTCCGACAGCGAACCTGTGCGAACCTGCACCGATGCTTGTTTTGCTGTTGACATGTACTCCATGCGAACGTCGAGTGGGTTTCAAGTCAAAAACGGTAAAAGACGTTGTTTGTTTCCTTCTTTTATCCAGACTTAATCCTTCTCATAACCGCGACCAACTCCTATCATACTCGACCCATCCACAGTACTTACCTTCCACATGAATAAAAGGACATGGCTTCAGATGAGGCCAGGGCTACCCCCGGGCTATTATTGTCAACAAACGTCAATTTTCCATTTTTTTAGTTACGGCTATTACGCGAAGACCGCCCCCCGGGGGCGGGGCGGGGGGCGGGCGAAGCACCCCTTGTACAAGAACTAGTAGTAGTGAATGTGTATGCACCTCCTCCCGCGTTGCCTGGTTGGCCATTGAAGTGATGCAGCTGGGAGTCCAGCGTTTCCAAGGAGCCGTCCGCGATCGCATAGACGTTCCCTCCCGCTCCCCCCGACCCCCCCGACGGCCGCTTCCTCGTTGGGTTGTCTCCTGCGAGCGAGATTTTGATGAAGTTGGGTGGAAGAACCGATTGGCCAAGCGTTCATGGTTGCTCGGTAGCTAAGGGTCCCGTCTAGAATAGTCTACTGCTGTACTTGTAGCTCCTTGACGGTGATTGCAAGCGCTTAGAACGCCTGGTCTCGCGCAAGGCAAAACGCGGCTGCAGTTGTGAAACGGGACGGTTGAGTGTTCGACAGCGTGACAGCAACAAGGCCCGATCTGGTACTGCGACCTCCTAATCGCTGTGCTGGACTGATACTCTGTTGTCGCTTGCATCTTGAGGTCCTGAGGTACGGGATATATCTTGTCTCACCCTCGAGGCTGATGCATCCGTCTCCTCCCTTGCCCCCACTGGCCAGTATGCGAAGTTTGTCGACGAACTGAAAAACCAATGGCGTTGCATTACGACGGGGCCGGGACGCCGGGACGCGACGGAGACAAGCGGTGAGGTACAGCGGTATTATATGACATGCATACCGTAGTAGCGGTGCGCTCCACTTGGTGGCGTGACGATCATATCATACGCCCACGTACGCCCGCATGCAGGGCACCAACAACGCGGCATGTCTGGCCACCGGCTTTCCTTTGATCACGCCTCCAGTACCAGGGGAAGAGGCGTAATTGTCCAACAAGAGCACCCGGTACCCAACACCGCTGCTGTAACTACAGCAGTGTGGTACGATAGCATAGAAACATGCACAAGTCGCTTGTCATGAGAGTGAGGCAGCGTTTTGAACATTTGAAAATTCAGAATTCACTGCTGTTCATTTTCTTGCTTTGACAGGAGGTAAGGAATGCCAACGTCATTGAGAACAACCAGGCACGTGAGAGTGCCGCGGCGTAACGGAAGAGTTCACGACTTCGCACTACTGTACATATATATTCAACCTAGCCTGTGTGGCTGTGTGGTGAGCAACGAACTTGCCTTGTAGTCACCCCTGTGGTTCCGTCGTTTTCCAGGCCTCCCTCCAGCTTGTCTGTTCAACACCAACACAGAACTAACACCGGCATGGCATCCCGGGCTGCCGAAGCCAAGATGGCACACCCGTAGCACTCCCAATACTCTGCATCGGGATGAAAAATGAGCCAACATCAGGGACACGATGTCCCGTGTGCAGTGTTCAGTGTGCTGCACGAGCGAGTGAGAAACTAAAGCGGGACTGAGTGAGGGACTGGACTGTGAGTAAGAGACTGCGCGGGTGCGGATTATGTAGATGGTATGCCAAATACCATGATTTCGCGTATGCCCCTCGTCTAAAGAGGCGACAAGGGAACGAGGCAGGAACCTCAGTCAGGTGACAGAGAGATAGATAGAGAGAGTGTAGAGCATGGCACAGTCGTGGATAACAGAGGTGAGTATGGAGCTTGATGCAGAGACTCCTAAACCCCCGGCGCCTCCCATTCCTCCGCCGCCCCCACCCGACCCTCCCACGCCCTCTGCTGTTCAAGCGGGAGCTCAGATCAGCTACGCCGCGGCGCCTCCTGGCCCGACTGGCGGAGGTCCAAATGGCATCATGCCTCCGGGCGCGCCGGCTTTCTACCAGGATCCGTACAGTTCTTTCTCCCAGTATGGTGCTGCACAGCAATATGCAGATCCTCAGGTACGAATAGATAACACGAGCTGGGAGCTTGGTAGCTGTATGTATCCCTTGAAGGTATTCGAAGCGCGCCCGATCTCTCGTGCTCTTCCTACGCTCTGTTGCGATCACGTGCGGAATATGTACTGCTGTACAGCAGTACTCGCATGGTTGCGAATTCATCCTCATGTGTAGCGTTGGTTTGTATTATTAATCCTGCCGGCACACGAGCATGTGTGTCATGTAAATTGACCGTGGCCGGTAGGTCGGGACACGCATCATATGATACCTATAGCCTAGCAGTGACCTGTGCTTTTCGAGGTTGTTTTTGAAGATTCAGCTCTAATGGAGCTTTCCCTCCCTCGATCACATCGCAGTGGAAGCCATCTTCGAGCATATGGAGCGCATGTTGCGTTGAACTGCAAGCCGTCCTCTAGTTCGCCCACGTGCTGCGACCTTTTTATTCTGGCGGAAGAGTTTTGTGGCAAGTCGATCTGATTTTGCCTACAATGCAGCATTTCCCCTACTCCGCCCTACTGCATTATTACCGACCAGGCTTCTCAGTGGGCGGGCTACTACCCAGGGTATAACTACAACAACGGCCATCCTCAGCAGTACCAGGCGTACCCGCCAGCCCCAAGCTATCAGGGGTACGTCCAAGATGCGCAGCAGCAGCAATTTGGGCAACAGGCTTATGCCCAGCAGTGGGCAGGGTATGCAACTGCTGTACCTCAACCTCAGCCGGTTGCTCCTCAAGCGTACCCAGCCCAGGCCCCTTACCTGCAAGGTCAACCATATCTGCCGACCCCCGAGATAGCGCAGCCGCCAGTACCGGCACAAGCACCAGGTATTGCGGCACCGTTGCCCCCTCCCCCCCCCCCCCCCCCCCCCATTTTTTTAATTAAAT